TCTGAACTCGAGTGGTGTTCTGTTGTTTGACTTCTGTGCTCGTCACGGATTGTCCATCACGAACACCATGTTCAGGCATAAGGGTGTCCTGGTGCCAAGTGCACATATGGACACCCTTATGCCTGAACATGGTGTTCGGACAATCCATGACGAGCACAGAAGTCCAACAACAGAACACCACTCGAGTTCAGATCGGGGGGGCCGTTCCTCCCAACCACGCCCCTCCAGGTCTCACTGTCATTGCCCACGTGAGCGTTGAAGTCCCCCAGCAGAACAAGGGAGTCCCCAGGGGGAGCACTTGACCTAGACGGTCAATAAATCACTTTTTTTACTATTATTACTTCCTCTTTTAAGTTGCCCCACAAGACATGTCAATCGGACCAATCACAATTAGGGAAAACTTCACCAATCACGAGTAGGGCGGTCTCCGCCCACAACACAACATGTACTGCAGAGACCCTACTTGGTTCACGGTGCACTAATGCTACAGAGGGGTTGAGACCATGCGCCTGACAAACACCTGACACCAGAGATCACTACTTTCTATGCTAAGTAGTAGAAGAGAGGAAAACAAACAAACAGGCAAATAAAAATAATCATCCTTACTTCAATTTATAGTGCGATTGATTGATTTATTGATTGATTTTCTTAACAGGCCAAGTCACAGAGTACCTGCCTGCAGAGTCTCCTTCATGAACTACTCTCAGCCCCAGCTTTTTGCGAATGTGTGTGAATCAGTGATCCTTACAAGGGAGAAGAGGTCATTCTGCAGACCGAGTCGGTCCACAGGCTGCAGGCTGAGGTCTCTGATTCCCGGCAGCAGACTCTCCAGCATGGATGAGCTGTATTGGATGCGATAGAAACCCACAGTTCCAGGGTTAATCTGTAAACAGCAGAGAACTGCATCAGACTGTAGGAGGGAAAAAATAAACCATTTTCATTCTTTACTACACTCAACCTCCACCACATCAAAGTTTAGCTCAGTATCTGTAAAACTGAGACATTCTTTCTTTATAAAATTGATTTACTGACAACTGCATTATTTATGTATAACGTGATTCAAGCATAATGTTACCCCTAATCTGAATTGAAAAACATTTATTGTCATTGTTCAAAGCACAATGAAATTACAGTTCAGAACACCAAAACTGCAACTGAGGTCCATGTCTTTTTTCCATCACTGTGGTTAACAAAAAATGAGTTTTTCCTACTTATGTTTAGCTATGTGCAGCATATTTTACAGTGGGAGCTCAGTGGGAGAAATTAAGATGATTTATCTCCCACAATATACTATTTCAGTTATATATGAGAAAATTAGGGCTGGGCGGTATGACCTCAAATTCATATCACGGTTTAAATTGAACCCCTTCAAGGTAACGGTATATATCGCTCTATAAAAAATTATCATAAAAAGTTAAGATAATGTAATTTTCAGACCATTTTTTTTGCAGAAAACTAATCTTAATTAAACCCAACATTTTTGCTTTAATATCTGCCTGTTATACAATGAGCTTCTGCCTGCTGAACTTATTAGCTGCTGCGCGCTCATCTTCATCATCTTCATCATCAAAGCGGAAGCCAACTTTACATTAGTAAGATGGATTTATGACTGAACGAACGTCCACGTCTTTTTTTTAATCATCTCTGTGAGTAACAATACATAAAAAACAAGTTTTTTCTCAAACAATTGTGTGTGAAAAACTACAGTTGTTAAAGCTTCACTCTGCGTGACGTGCAGCAGGAGGGAGAAAATGATAACGTAACTCGACCTAACTTTTCTACAGCGGGAGGAGGAAATTTTGAGGATTTATCCTCTCTATACGTGTTTTAAAATGCTAGAAATTCTTCATTATATTTCTAACTCCTGCTCAGTTGTCTTTGCACTTGCAGCCCTGTTGACACAGGTGCGCTGTTAAGAGTCTCGTCTCGTGGGCCTGGGATATTTAAATGTGACTTCAGTAACTCCTTAGTCATCAGTTTTCATATTGAAATGCATCTTTATGGAGAGTTGATGAAGCAGTACAAATATTTCACATCAACAGAAAATGAAGCTGGTTTTAGAAAAAGTGGAGCAGGAACTCACCTTGACCCACTGGTCCGGACCGACACCACTCACAGTAATAGTGTCCTCTGGTTTGTCCAGCAGAAATTTGAGCGTGGTGCATTTGGGGTCCTTGCTAGTACAAATGCTAATAGGGACCATCCAACTTGGGCAATTTTCACCTGAATGACAGACAAATGGTGTGAGGTAAAAGCCACCACAGTTCATCACTGACATGCAGGGATGTCGGCTTTAGGTTTGTTGTGTGAAGCGGTTCAGTCTAAGGCCAAGATCTGATTTTGATGTGTGGTTGTTCACATTATATGTCATTTACAGGCGACCATCATCAGACTAACAGTATAACAGTTTACGGCCCTGAAGAAAATGTGGTGTCAAACAAAGCTCGCATACAGATGCTATATGTTAGTATGTGTGGATCAGTCCTGAAGTTCTTGTGCAGTCTGAGTCAACGAAATGATTTATCTGCCCTGCTTCTTTCATCTAATGCTTGATTATATCTTGCCGCTTCTCATCTATTCTGCAGAATTCTACTTCTTGTATCAATGTCATCATGCTAGTATCGATACGATCTGACGCTAATGTTAGTCTCACATGTTGGTGTAGATTCACAGTCATCCAGGACACGGAAAATCAAAAAATGTTTATAAAAAAAGTCATATTAACCTCTTAAGCCCCAAGGGTTTTTTTTGAGGTTTTTTTTCTCAAAATCCCATGCTGAAATGTAACTGAGTGTATCTCAACATTTACGAACTCTACTTCAATAATCTTGGTATCAAAATAAAGAAACACTTAGGAGATTTCATCAGAAGTGTAAATATTAAAACAGCTGCTGTGGTTTTAGACATATTGGGGATGGAACATAATTTTTTTTCACTCTCACCTGAATATGTTTTTCATTAGACAGTATATAACATATTTAAAATCATAATGATTCAGGCTAAAAGCTCTTGGAAACCATAAACTCACTTGTGGACATTACTGTGCAAAGATTCATGCTGTTAAAATGAACTGGAGCAAAGTTGTAGAGGTTTTAGTAAAGAAATTATTTAGCATTTTATCATTCTGCACAGGACAGACCATGATTAATAAATGTTAAGAAATTTGAAGTTTTTACATCTAAAAGTTAATTATTTTTTCTTAACTGCCTTAAAATACTTGTTATTGAATGCTTGTTCTTTAAAAAATATGCAAATGTTTATTTGTCA